TCTACTCCATTTCACATCACACACACTGCTTTACGTAATCTCAAAGTACTAAACCAATACTAAGAACAAATCAAGCATGCAACCAGCAACAACAATGTAATCATAGTTCACAACATGAAACAAAAGCAATAGAAACTAAACGAGTATTAAAGCTATAGAATATTCTAGCAAGTACTGTATAACACAAACAACTCTCAGCTACTGAAACAAATCTGGAAATAAAAAAGAACACTCAGCTATCAACAATACTCGATTCAGGAAAAGAAACCACATCCGGAGAAGCACAAGTTGGATAATATAATCAACAACGATTACAATGCACGATGACATAAGATCATATTAGCTAAAACAACGGTTGAAGTTATATATATACCACAAACAATTCATGTTATGATCACTCTTCATAGGGCACTTACTGAATTGTGGTTACTAGATCACAATGTAATTTATTAAAGGCATAGATGAAACTAAGTAAAACAAAGAGCAACTCTAGATACGATAGAATTGGGCACAAAGAGCAAATATAAGCAATAGCAGCAGAAGTACTTACAAAACGTAAAAATCGCAAACGAAACAGATACTTAAAAGACAATCTAACAACCCTAATTCAGTTCTCCCAAATTCCATTAACCCTAAAGCAGCAACATCCAGATGATAAGAGAGAAAAAAACCCTAACTCAATTATTCAAGAGCTGGTGAATTTCGTGACGGCCTTAGTCCCCTCAGAAACAGCATGCTTCGCCAACTCTCCAGGAAGCACCAATCTCACAGCAGTCTGAATCTCCCGGGACGTGATAGTAGGTTTCTTATTGTACCTCGCAAGCTTCGACGCCTCTTGAGCAAGCTTCTCGAAGATATCGTTGATGAAACTGTTCATAATCCCCATCGCTTTGCTTGAGATTCCGATATCGGGATGAACTTGCTTAAGCACCTTGAAGATGTAGATCTTGTAAGTCTCGATACTCTTCTTCTTCATCTTTTTCTTCTTGTCACCTCCAGCACCAGCCTCCTTCGGGAGTTTCTTTCCGGCCTTTGGTTTCTTCTCCGCCGGAGCTTTCTCGGCTTTTGATTTCTCCTCCACAGGCTTCTCGGAAGCTGGTTTCTTCTCAGCGGGCTTCTTCTCTGCTTTCGGAACCCGTAATTCAGTTTCTCGAGGTTTCTAGGTTTAACGAGATCTGAGAGGTTAAATGGCTGTGGATTGCTTTATCACCTATAAAAACTTGAGAGGATAATTTTATATAGATCGTATGGAGTGATATGATTGGATGAAATAGATTGACGCGGATCGATATCTGCACCGTTGGATCTGCTTTTTCATGTAAACATATCGACGGTTGAAAAGGAATCTTAAAAAGAAGGAAAGCTCTTACACGTGACGGTTCTTATTGGATACTCTTGGTGGCAAGGACTGCTGACGTGTGCAGTTTGGCGCATTTTAGGCTCCTCGTGAAATATTCCTTCCCGCCCCCGCCATTCTCTAAAATTTCTCAACTGGCCTCATGTATTTTGAAAAGCCCAATTTTAAGCTCATTTGGAATTGGTGAGGGTGAGACCCGACCCGGGCGGGTTCCCAGATATCGGTTCGTTGTTTGTAACACAGTCCCGACAGGATTTTAATCTCATTGGCCCCTTTGGCCAAAATCAATTTTTGAAAAACCCCTACTTATTCTCACTACCCCCTCTCCTTCCCAATTTTTTTATAAACCAACTCTACCCCTTATCCCTTTAATTATACATTTAATTTAATATCAACATATTTTTTATCAACCAATCAAAAATTTTCTCTCTCTTCTCTCATTAAAAAAACAAACCTACCAAATGTCTCACCTTTTACAACATTAAACGTAGGAACGTACGAGACTTTCTTCTTCTTCTTCTTCTTCTTCTTCTTCTTCTTCTTCTTCTTCTTCTTCTTCTTATTCTTCTTCAACAGCTCCGACGTTGCAGCTCCGACGTTGCAGCTCCGACGTTCTTCTTCTTCTTCTTCTTCTTCTACTTCTTCTTCTTCTCCATCTACCATTAAAGCTCACCATTAAAGCTTGCATCTCCAAAGACATATTTTTTCTCTTCTTCTTCTTGTATTCCCACCATACTGTAAGGTAAGTATACTTTTTCTTAGTGTAGTATGATTAAGTTAATTCGTAGCTTGAATAGGGTTATGTGTTGAAATATTTTAGGATTGCAGATTTGGGACAACTGAAACCACTGGGTACAACTAAGTAGTTACGGAAACCCTAAGTTTGGTACAACTGGAACAAATTCGTACAACTGTAAGGTAAGTATACTTTTTCTTAGTGTAGTATGATTAAGTTGAATTCGTAACTTGAATAGGGTTATTTGTTGAAATATTTTAGGATTGCAGATTTGGGACAACTGAAACCACTGGGTACAACTAAGTAGTTACGGAAACCCCAAGTTTGGTACAACTGGGACAAATGCGTACAACTATGTTGATGGTCTGCTACGAAAGTTATGAAATTATAGGCCGTTTTTTTTTCTCTTTCTTTTTCAGGGACAATGAAAAGGAATTCAGTCATACGCTTTGCTTATGACGGATACTATACAAGTATCGGAGAAGATGTACATTGGATTTCTAATGGAGAAGATGAAGAAGTGTATTCTTTTCTTATGAATAAATCGAAAGGGGAAGTATCATATGTTAAGATGGTTGAGAAGATTTGCAGGAAGAAAAAGGTAGATGAGGCTACGACAAAACTGAGAGTTAGTTACTTTCCCTTCACATTCAAAGGACGTAAGCTAAGACCAAATTATATTCGTGATGATGAAGATGTTGTGTGTTATTATGAGGATGTGAGTGAAGAAGGGCTTAGAAGTGTATTGCATGTCGAAGTGACCAATGACGTTGAACAAAATCAGGGGATCGATGAAAATGAGGGGTTTGATCAATTTTTAAGAGAGGATTTGGTTAGAGGATATGTTGCTAATAGTGAAGATATTCCTCTAATTGGTGGAGCGGATGATAGTGGTGGTGGTGTCCTTGCTATGTATGTTGGAGAACCATCACAACAATATCCGGCGGTGGTGGAGAATGAAGATAGAGATGTAGAAGAGAATGCATCCGAAACTATTTTATGGGAAGATGAGATTGATATTACGGTAGGCCAAGAATTTATAAGCAAAGAAGCAATACAAAGTTTAGTTGAAAAGGCTGGACATAATAATGTCTTTGAGTTTGTTGTAAAGAAGTCGGAGCCATTGAGATATGTGGTGGCATGTTCGGAAGCACATAACGGGTGTGATTGGTATATACGAGCTGCGAGGCGTGATACGACTAAGCCTTTTTCTATACGAACTCATAGAAATATTCATTCATGCTCTCGGTCAAGTACAAGTACCGGGCGGCGAAGTAGAAGGAAAGGCACACCAACTATGGTTGCTTCTTTGTTGGCTGAAGATTATCCGGGTAAACTTAGCACACCACCTCCAAAAGATCTTATTGATTTGGTCCAAGGACGATTTGGTGTGCAAGTGTCATACTCTACCGCGTGGAGAGGGAAAAAAGAAGCTGCAAATGATATTCGAGGTACCCCAGAGGATGGTTTTAGGCTTGTGCATTCGTATATGTACATGTTAGAGAAGATGAATCATGGTACAGTTTCGTATGTAGAAGTGGATGAGGAACAAAAGTTTAAGTACTTGTTTTTTGCATTAGGAGCTTCCATTGAAGGCTTTCAAGTCATGAGAAAAGTGATCATCGTGGATGGAACCCACCTTAAGACTGCATATGGTGGAGTGCTAATTGTTGCTACGGCTCAAGATCCCGATCATCACCATTATCCGATTGCTTTTGGTGTAGTGGATGGCGAGAAAAATGATAGTTGGACTTGGTTTCTCAAGAAGCTCAAAACGGTTATACCGGACGATCCTAAAATTGTGTTTGTTTCGGATAGAAACCAAAGTCTCATCAAGGCAATAGCTGAGGTATATCCGTCGTCCCACCATGGGCATTGTATCTTCCATTTGTCTCAGAATGTGAAATTGAAGGTTTTTGGAGTAAACAAAGCAGTATGTGGAAAAAAGTTTCGGGAATGTGCTCGGGCTTATACGGAGGCAGAGTTCCTAAGGCTCTATGAAGTTTTTTCGTCTACATATCCTTCGGCACGTACGTATCTAGATGAGTGGGCGGATG